GGATGAAATACCAATCCTTGAGGACATCTCCTGAACCATGTGGCCCCAGGAAACTTCTCACCCTCTCCATTGTCTATTTCCTGTTTAGTCTATTTCCATACAACTTCCTCTTCTAAGGTTCTGGTGACAGAAGGATATTTTGAACAATACTTGCTTGTAACAACAATGTGTGTGTGTGTGTGTGTGTGTGTGTGTGTGTGTCCACATTTATTTTCAGACCAAAGAGAAAAAGAACATCTCTGTATGAAGATAAGCAGATACTTTAACAAGAAATGAAACCAGGTAACCGAAACTTAATAAGAGCTTAAATTCTATCTATCGATAAAATACAGGTAGTCCTCAAATTGCAACCATTCATTGCAACCATTCGAAACTTAATAAGAGCTTAAATTCTATCTATCGATAAAATACAGGTAGTCCTCGAATTGCAACCATTCATTTAGTGACTGTTTGAAGTTACAAATGCACTGAAAAAAGTGACGTGGCTGTTTTTCCACACTTATGATCGTCGCACCATTCCCATGGCCACGTGCTCCAAATTCAGATGCTTGGCAACTGACTCGTATTTATGACAGTCCCAGTGTCCTGGTCACATGATCCCCTTTTGCAACCTTCTACAAAGAAAAGTCAAGAGGCCAGCTTCACTTAACAACGATGCTGCTAACTTATCAACTGCAGTGATGCACTTAACGACTGTGGCACGAAAGGTCGTAAAACGGGGCAAAACTCACTTGGCAAGTCTCGCTTAGCCAAGATGTTGGATTCAAATGCGGTCATAAATCGAGGACTATTTGCAAACCATCCATCAGACGAATTATAACTCGGTGAAATTTCTTGACTAAGTCAGACTTAAAGTGGTTGGAAATTTACATTTAGGCCAAACGATTCAAGGGATATTTACTATTGTGGGTGACTTCAGCGAACAAAATCATACGCCGAAGTCCTCTGATGTGCATGTGTATGAAGACTGAGTGTGTCTTTTTTCCTTGTCCACTCACCCTAGCAGATTATATTTCAAGATTACACAAGGTGCATCGATTCACCGCGAAGGAAGATGCTTGTAACTTCTGCTATCCTACACTGCTTACCATACAGTGATTTATTGAGGGATAAATCCTAAAGGTAACAGAAGCAGCCGTATATATATATATATAGCATCCTGACCGTAAGCGAGAATAAAAGGAGCCAGCTTTTTAAAAGCCCAGGTGATTTACAACCAGCACTTCAACTACACAAACTGAAAGAGCAAAGTATTATTAGGTCTAAATCGGTTGAAAAGCTTGCACAGGGAAAGGGATGCTAGATGTAAACCTTGATGCTCTCATCTTTATGCTATTTGTGGATATTATTTCAAGAATGGAAATAAGCGAAATGAGGATTTTTGGAAATAACACTACTTTTCCTGACCAGAGAGCTCTGGGATAACCTAAAAGCTAGAACACCTCAGAGGGAGTCTAACACGCTCCAGGGTGGTTTTCCCACCGTCCCATTCATAACCCTGAAGGGCTGCACAAAAACAGACATTCTAGGCCTGCAAAAGAAGAATGGAAATACATTTAAAGGAACATATTCTGAAAAACTGTAAGATGCGTCCATTCCCAGTGAGTGTCCTAATACCTTTCAGCCCGCAGATTTCTGCTTTGAGGCAGTGTTAGTGAATGACAATTGAGAGAGGCAGCTTGGTCTAGTGGTCAAGGCACCAGGCTAGAAACCAGGAGACGGTGAGTTCTAGCCTCAATAATACTTGGGGATAATGAACTGTGTAAACTCTTTTCTACAGATGGGATCGACCCGGTCTTCCATTTTTTTGAGTCCAAAACTTGTTAGGATTCTCCTGCTATATTTAAATGGGGAAAGTATTTAATGGATTCAGTTCATTGTTTTCATGTTTCAGAAGTGACTTCCAGCATATGCTGAGTCAGCTCTTGAACTAAAAAGCAAAGTTGATTTATCATGGAAAAAATCAATGTGACAGAAGCAGCTAGAAATCCATGATGACACAGTCCGTTGAGAACAGGCCTAATGAAGCAGCAAAGGCAGTCCTGGTTTAAATGCCTGAGCCATATTAACTTTGCAATATGGCCGATAGCCATGATCTTGGCCAGCTGCCTGTATGGACATAGAAATGAAAAGATGGACACAAAGGCCTCTTTTACCTATTAATAAACTGTGAAGTCCCATCCCTTTTATAACACATTTCTATCTATCGGGGAAATAAGTCCAAAATTGAGCCGCAAAGAGGCTCCCCCATGCCTGGCTGAAAGGTGGCTGGAAGAATAAATGAAGACTTTTAGAGAAGGCGCAACATGGCAATGAATACCCTCCACTCTGAAATCCACTTGCAATACAGTTGTTCCTCAACTTACGACCGGTTGCTTAGCAAGTGTCCAAATTTTTGATAGACCTACCTTGGGGCTACCTACCCCCTGGTTTAAAGTTCTGATGATCATCTCCCTCATGTGACCAAACTTGGCAAAAGGGCTGCATTTACAGCCACCTACAGCATCCCGCAGTCACACAATTGGATTTTACGAGAGTTTTGCTGAAAACCAGCAATTTCTCCCACTTTGGCCAAAGCGCACCCATAGGAATCATGGCATCTCTTGACAATCACAGTGGCTGCTTTACAACTGTGGAAGCTGTTTAACAGCCGACGTCTTCATTAGGTAGTCCTTGACTTACAACCATTGGTTCAGTGACCGTTCAGAGTTACAACCGCACAGGAAAAAAGTGACTTACGGCTGATTTTCATGCATATCATCCCCCATGGCCACAGGATCAAAATTTGGGCACCTGGCAACTGACGAGTGGAAGCCAGATTCGTTTAACGGCCTCATGATTCACTTAGATCAGTGTTTCTCAACCTTGGCAACTTGAAGATGTCTGGACTTCAACTCCCAGAATTCCCCAGCCAGCTGGGGAATTCTGGGACTTGAAGTCCAGACATCTTCAAGTTGCCAAGGTTGAGAAACACTGACTTAGATGCAGTGGCTCACTTAACAACAGTGGCAAAAAGGGTTATAAAATGGGGCAAAGCTCATTTAACAATCACCTCGTTTAGCAACAGAAATGCTGGGCTCAATTGTGGTCATAAGTCAAGGACTGCCTGTGCCTGAACTTCCAGAAGAGCAATATGTAGAAAAATCTTTCCGGTTATTTAAACTTTCCCTCGCGCCAGCTTTGAAACCCTACCCACTGAGCTTCGTGGCCTGTCTGAGCTCCCTCTACTGCAGTGTTTCTCAACCTTGGCAACTTGAAGATGTCCGGACTTCAACTCCCAGAATTCCCCAGCCAGCGATTCTGGGAGTTGAAGTCCGGACATCTTCAAGTTGCCAAGGTTGAGAAACACTGCTCTACTGATTAAACAATAATTCCATCTCCCCACCCTGAATTTTCCAGGGAGCAGGTTTTGTTCATGTCTGGATGGCGAGTTCGAATTTCTGCAAACTGCTGGAAGGGACCTCTTGGCCAGTGACTGACTCACACTCACACTCTCACTCTCTCTCTCTCTCTCTCTCTCTNGACCTCTTCAAGTTGCCAAGGTTGAGAAACACTGGTATAGGAGATACCAGACTCAACACAGGGCCACCAAGATTCGGAGTCTCTCTGGTATCTTTGGGTCAGCCACCCTCTGCCCATCCATGAGCCCCGGCAGGCTTGTGATGGTGGGAAAATGGGGAGGGGGGACAGGGGGAGCTGTGACTATGCCACCATGAGCTTCTGCAGGCAGGAAGCTAACCAATAAATAATACCAGTTGGAAAACGTTACATAAAAAAGCAGAGAGCCATTCAAGGGATATGTCACAACACAAGCCACGAGAAAAATAGGCTCAGCGCAACCAAAATAAGGATGAGCATATTTATACACCGAGTGGCAGGGAATTCAAAATAGCAGCAGGCGTCAAAGACGGCAAAAGGGAACGAGGGAAAATCTGTTCCGCTCCCCCCCAGATTAAGCCACTACAATGCAGATCACACACAATTTTGTTTCGAAAACAATGGCGTGAAAGGTGTTTTGTGCCAAGACTGGCTTAGAAGAACCACGACAAGAGCCAGTAAATTCACGCAGGATGAAGATGAGCAGCAGAGGATCATTAAACACTGAACCACAAACTACAGTTGGTCCTCGACTTACAACCGTTCATGTAGTGACTGTCCGAAGTTACAACGGCACTGAAAAAAGTGACCCATGACCATTATTCACACTTACGACCGCTGCAGCAGCCTCATGGTTATGTGATCAAAATTTGGATGTTTAGCAACCTGGTTGATATTTATGGTGGTTGCCGTGTCCCGGGATCACTGGTCCCCTTTTGCGACCTTCTGACGAGTAAAGTCAAGGGGGAAAGCCAGATTCACTTAACAACAGTCTTAATTACTTAACACCCGCCGTGATTGCCTTAACGATTGTGGCAAGAAAGGTCACAAAATGGAGCAAAATTTGGTTAACAAACATCTCACTTAGCCAAGGAAATTGTCGGCTCGATTGTGGTCGTAAGTCGAGGACTGCCTGTATAGAAAAGAAGACAAATGAAAACAATCACCGATCAGAGACTGCGTAAGAGAAGGATTAAATCCCCAAATCAGAATCCTGAACCAAGCCTCTCTTTCAAATATACAAGAAAGAAAGAAAGAAAGAAAGAAAGAAAGAAAGAAAGAAAGAA